TGCAGCACAGCTCATTACAGTGAGTTTGGCACCACCACCTTCAATACACCCTGATGATAGTGAAGGAGAATACCGTCCTGCCTCCTATAAACAGGGGAATCGGACGGCAGACTCGTAAGGGTGGGGTCTTTCTCTTGCTCCATTTGTAGTTGTACCTTGTCTTTCACCGGCTCACACTGGTCAGCTTCCCCAGGAGACCTCTCAGTCTCAGATGCTGCTTGCCACTCAATCTCTAGTCTGTTCTCCCAGCGCTGCCTTCTGCATTTGGGACACATATTTGTAGGCATCTGTTGAGTATCTTTCTTCCAAACATGGACACACAACATGTGGACCATCACACTGGATCCAGTCAAATGGGTCTGTCTTTGAGTGTACGCACCATGCAGCGGCACATGTCTCGTTATGGACACTGCTGTCATTGTGCGAGGTGTCACCCGACATGACAGGGTCTGATTGGAATGTATCAGCTTCTGGTATCGGTGTGATCGGCGTGATTGTATCGTATGTCAGTTGACGATCTCGAATGACGCCAACCACTGGGTTTTCATGAGACCGAGATAATGCATCAGGGACAACACGAAGAATACCACGACGGTACGTAACATCGAAGGAGAAAGCCTGTAATCGCAGGACCCAGCGGGCAAATTTGCCTGTCACTCTGGCCTTCTTGAAGAGCCAAATCAGGGCCTGGTGATCAGTGACAACTTGGAAATGGCTTCCCTCAAGGAAGACACACCACTTCTCCAGTGCCCATATCACTGCCAAGCATTCCTTTTCTGTAGCATTGTAATTGCTCTCGGCAGCATTCAGGGAATGGCTCGTATAGGCAATGGCATGCAGATGGCCGTCACCCTCCTGAAGGAGAACAGTTCCTAGGCCAGTGTCGCTGGCATCAGTGCGACCAGGGGTCTCGTCAGATCTGGACAGGCGAGGACTGATTCTGAAGCAAGGAGGGACTTAAGCTGCTGGAAAGACGCTGCACACTCATCTGTCCAGGCCCATTCAATTCCTTTGTGTCACAATTGGTTAACTGGAGTGGCTATATTGGCCAAATTTGGAATGAACTTGGAGTACCGTGCCACCATACCAAGGAATCTCTTGAGGCGGTTCAGGTTGTCTGGAGCTGGGTACTGCACTATCGCCTCATCAACCTTGTCTGGATCTGTGTGAAAACCATCGCCAGCAATCACATGACCCAGGTACTATCATAAAAGATATAAAGCTCCAAACACACACTTCTGCCTGTTAACTGTCAGGCCAGACTCCCATAGGTGCTGCAGGACTTGATGGAGATCAGTCAGGTGTTGGCTTGGCGATGAAGAGTAAATGACAATATTGTCCAGATACACATAACATATCCTGCCAATCAGACCACGCAGAACTACTTCCATAAGTCATCGAAAGCTGGCAGGTCCATTAACCACGCAAAACGGCAAGACCGTGAACTGGAAAAGTCCTTCTTCACATGCGAAGGTAGTCTTCTCTGTCAGCTTCATTCAGAGCCATTTGATGGTAACCACTTTTCAAGTCCAAAGAGCTGAAAACTGTGGCTCCATGAAGCGATCTGAGGATGCTGTCAACAGTCGGCATTGGATAGGCATCTTATTTGGTGACGTTGCTCAGTTTCCTGAAGTCAACACACAAACGATACTCTCCCTTTGTCTTCTTTGGAACCATCACCACAGGAGACGACAATGGTGAGCATGAGGGTTCAACTCGGCCATCTGCCAGCATCTCACCTACTTGTTTCTGGAGTGCCTGCTGGCAGTCAGGGGAAAGACGATAGACTGGGTTCCGGACAGGCGGGGAGTCAACAGTGTTGATGTAATGAACAGCAATGTCGGTTTGACCAGGTTTCGTGGTGAGGGCATCAGGGAATTCGCCAAGTATCGACTCAAGGCGAAAGCTCTCATCCATGCTGAAGATGGGGGGGGGACAGATCAGTGGCTTTTTTTCATCTGGGACTGCATCCTCTTCAGCGTGGTCACACAGGGGGACCCTTAATCATGGGAGAGACCAAGGGCCGGAGTGGCCACTTCATACATGGTGCATCAGACTGCAACCAGTTTTGACTTACTGCTGAAGTCCATTCCAAGCCTGGACTGTATTTTGCAAAGTTTCTCCCCAAAGCAATGATAGAGTACTACAAGGATGTCTGTGCCCGCAACCTCCACAATTCCACTATAAGACCCAGTCGTATGGAATTCCACTCCATTGACGGTGACTAGCAGGCCAATGGTTGGTTCCAAAGTAATGTCAAGGCTCAAAAAGTGACACAAGCCCTGGCTAAAAAGTGAAATCAAAGAACCAGTGTCTATCAATCCTTTCTGGTCACTCTAGTTTATTGTCACTGTAATGTAGGGGCCACTGTTGTTGCCATCTGGGTCAGTGCACGAGGACGGAGGGTGGACGAAACTCACTCATGAACTGTCCGGGGGCTTCACAGGATTGTTAGGCTTGACTGGCTGGGTTGGTTTTGCTGCCGCCCCTTGTCTTGATGGTTTTGAGTCACTTTTTGCGGGTGGGTCAGGAGGGGGCAGTCCAATGCTCGATGATCCAGCTGATGGCATTTGAAGCGTATCAACTCAAAATCTCCCGTCTTTCTTGGGGGTGTTGTGGTTGTGCTGCCTTTTTGGTGGTTACTGGGGTTGGCATTGTCAAGTCTGACGGGTGGTCGTCGATCACTTTTGTCAGGTAGGGGTGTCAACAACTATCTAAGGTGAAGGCTGGTACTAGTGCTTTCCATACGATGATTTAATACACGTTTGTCAGCACACCTGGCAACAGCCTGAACCATTGCAAGTTTCTTTTCCCGCAATTTCAAGCGGAAATTGTAATTTTTTATTGTGCTCAGGAACTGATCAATCAGCAGTTGTTCGAAGATTCTCTTAACGTCTGCTGTTGCAGCTGTCTTATTGCTTGGTTTCAGCCATCTTTTGAGGTACAGCTCAAGCCTTGTGGCAAATTCTTCAAATGTTTCCTGGTGCTCCTTAGTTGCTTCCATCATTGCTTTGGCAAAGGACTGGCAAAGTGATTGTGTCTCATTTCTGCGTAGTGCTTCCAGTTTCTCTAGAATTTGCCCCAAATCGGACTGAGCTGGCATAACCGCACCCGACGTGAGGTGATCATCCACTGGGAATGTTGGACATCTCGCACCCGGGACAACTTGTATCCAGGACAATTTGTACCTGGGACAACTCGTGACCCAATTGAGAAAGAAAACAAAACATGGAAAAGCATTTCACGTAGGAGGAATTGGCTCTCTTTTTAATGAAATATATGTCACTCTAAAAAGAGCCACCTTTAGTTTATTCAGGACACAGGTGCACTCATGTACTTGCAGGCCACCAGAAACCTTGGGGTGCGTTCGAGCAAGCTACTCACATTAATACAAGTATACTCCTGAGCGCTCGAAAGGCTGGAGTGTGACCCGAGGGTCAGTGCGAGTATACTCTTGTTAGAGGGGGAGTATACTCCTGTGCCCGAGTGTAATGCGCACGCATCCTACTCGTGTTAACAGAAGTAACCGCGCGAACGCACCCTCAAAGTTTTGATCTCCCCAACCTCATTTAGCCTCAGCAGATTGCACTTTTTCCGGTTATGAAGTGTCCCGGATACGACATGTCCCAGGTACGACATGTCCTGGGTACGAGATGTCTCAGGTACGAGTTGTCCCAGGTGTGAAATTTTGGGTATGAGATGTCCCGGACATGAGTCGTCTCGGGTACGAAATGTCCCGATACCATCCACTGGTTCCTTCATCAGAGGAAGCGTACACAGGGTTGCAATTCTCTCCTGCTTGGTTTTCAGTTGTGTTATGTCAATATGATTCAATGTACGCAGCTGATTGATGTACTGAACTGTGAACCGACTCGGGTACATTGCTCGATCCATGTTCGTAGTGTACTGGTGGCAAGCTATAGGTTGCAATGTTCAGTTCAGTCTTCACATAAAATTCGAAGTTGAGACTTGGATCACCAATTACTAGAGAAATCAAAATTCACCAGTCCTGGGTGCGGCTACAATTTTATACACAGTAATGTGACATTTATCAATGTCCAAGTAGAATACTACCAGGGATCATAGATAACACTATCTAGTTCACTATATAATTTGCTGCATCGATGTATTGTACTCACGCCCTTCCCCAGCAGGCAGCAAAGTGGCAAACACACCTTCCAATATCTAGGGACCTTGGGGTGGAATAAGTTGACTACCCTTCAAAAGCAGGCAATTAGACATTTTATACTTGTCCATAGACACACAGGTACAAACACAGAGCAGCATTTAGACCATTAAAAAAATCCCTTGTTTCAAATCTTTAATATCACATAAATTAGGAACATCTCCTTCAGAAATATTATTAAAATTAATGAATTTAGTTTGAAGTCTTTTACATTTAGTGCTTTGCTAATGTATGTGAGGTATTTTACTTTCATACCAGTTATTGCAACTGTAACTTTGTAAACATGTATTTGCCTTTTCAAAATAAACCACCCCCTTAAAGTGGTTGGATACATGTCCGTTTGAAAAGAATCTCACTCTGTATTGCAATGCAAGTGCAATTAAAAATTTTCGACTGCTGTGTAGCATTTAAAAATTTAGACTGATGCTACAAAGGTATTTTCTTAGTGACTTTATACTACAAAACAAAGACATGTCTGATAAGTGGCTCGGGAGAAAATTTTCAACGATTTACTGGTCCACATAAGTAAATATGGGGGAATAAATTCAAATAAAAAACACCCCCTCCCCCACTGCCAACGAAGGAAAGTGCTGATGAGATAATTGTACTTTGTGCATGGCAATCGGGCGAAGAATATGCATTTCAAGGAAATTTTGTTTTGCTCGGTACTTCCTGAGCCAAACGAGTACAAACCTGTGGGCAAATTTGGTGCTTTCAAATCAATGGGACGTCATTAAATAGGGTCTGCTCTTTTGATGTCAAAGTTGTATTTTTCCTACAGATGGCTGCTAAAACTATGGTTGGCTGGTGGTACAAAAGTAAAAGAAGAATTCACAAAATGTTAAAAATTCCACACAGCTATCAGAACACCAGATACATGTAATAATACACGTACTACTAAACACTAAAAGAAAATACAACCCTAATTAAAATCAATGTGACAAATATCCATTCTGAACGAATTTGAGGGAAAATCGAAAACCAACCAAAAAGGTGATATTTCTACAAACTTTGACCTCCCATACAAGTTGTAGGCAATATGAAAGTGGTCCGTAAGTAAACCCAGAAGAAGCCATCTCTTTGTCCTGCATGGAGTGGATAATATACCAGAAGTATTGCAAACTTGGTGATAGTAAAGTTCCCACCTGCTGTTTCTTTCACATTTCAGAAAAGATATTAATTCAGTAAAATAAATTGAAATTTTCATTTTCCTTCTTTTCTTGTTTAAAATAACAAAACCAATGCAATGCAATGACATTCTTGACACATTGCACAGCTTTTCTAGAAGTGAACAAATAATTTGCAATAAAGTATTAAAGTTATGTGATAGAACAGCCGGTTCATACCACAGGCCTAACTATGTGAATCTTTGATGCTGCTCGACGCACCAGAAAAATTAATGCCTGCTTATAGCACTGATCTATTTGACACTGTCAACTGGTCAATCAAAATACATGATTTCTCATTATTTGAATAGCCCACTCTTTTTTTGTAGTGTCTTTTGGTTTTTCAAGGATACAAGACAACTTAAGAGCAAACATAACCAGTACCACAGCAACAGCCTGTCATCAAAATTATGGAGTTTTGGAGAATTTGGGCGCGAAGTGTTTAGACTAAATGTTAACTCATCACATCATAGAGGTCATCGTATGCACTGCAAACACTTTCGGAAAAGTCGGACAGACTGGGCGAGGTGGAATAACTGGTTGCTGTCAAGGTCATACAATCATCAAACACAGTGTAGAGCACCCCAAGCCCACTGGGGGATACGGGAGCAAAGGCTGCCCCTGCTGAACTGGGTGACACCCCTGTGGTGCTTGTGGACAGGGTGATGGTGTTGATGTTAACATATGCAGGATCCTGGAACACTGTTGGCATGGGTCTGCCGGTTGAAGAGGCAAGGGCACGTAAGGCAAAGAGGTGACGGTCCCATCCTTGACCTGCAAACAGCATGTCAAGGAATTGTTTCAGTGAATGATGGAAACGGGTACGACGAGAAGCAAAGTTACAACAGTTCAGAATGAAAACTACACCAATTTATTTTGGACAACTTTAATAAGCATGTATACAAGGAGGGGTTGAGTTTTTAATACAGTGTGCACCTTGCATAGAGGGAGCGATCAGAAGACAGGTCTGAGGCAATGTGTACGTACAAAGTAAATGCAGCAATGAAATTGCTTTTAATAAACTGACTTAAAAATAATCCACTTCTCCTATCTGTACCCAACAGAACAGTTAACACTGAATATTATTTGAACATATTACCTTTAAGCCCACCATTTGAATCTTACCAGTATGAGCCTGGTGAGCACAAGGGTAATATGGAATGTGTATCCATATGGGGAACCACTATGTCTGCCATGTATATAGGGGAAGGGTCTAACATGTCTCCAAATTCGGTGCATACGTTCTTTATGGATGGCCCCTTCTAATCGATATTCATAAATACTAAAGGCAGTTTAGCCACTCATATTGGTTAAGAGCCTAGCTGACCATTTGTCATGGCGGGTCTTAAACGGTTGATAAAGCAACTGCTGGCTGTGTGCCACCTCACACAGTACACGCCATCCATGCGCCAATCTCCATATCAGGAGATGGTTTACGACAACTCGTGAGAGGGACATGTTACAATATTATTTGATGGGTATTTTTAAAATGAAGTAAAATTGCCGAACAAAAAGACTGGAAATTGATAATTTAAACTTATTCAGACTTTGTAATATTAATACATGAATGTGCTTGACCGCACTCCAATGTTTGTTAACTGGCTCAGGAGAATGGACACTGATAAATGTCCCTCGCCTGATCTGAGCCCATTTTAATGGCATGGTGCTACTTTATTAGCAGAAAAATCATACTTTCTTAAAGCAGAAAATTTTGCTAACCGTAAGCACTATTCCATGGCGTGCGGTGCTTGGCGAGGTTGCACTGACAGTTGCTTGAGCGTAGCGACTACCGCTATTTTGTCACTACCTTGAGGTAAGCGTGCATTTTGCTGAGGCTACCACTTAGTCTCCATGAAATACACAGAGCCTCTGTAGAGTGTAAAGTCTTGTGCTTAACAGTGACATAAAATTGGGCCCTGGTCTTAAGCGAACATTTAAGAACAGCCAAGCATACATTTATTCCCTTATGACATGACAGTTTATTTCACAGATTACACATGCACTGTAGGATTGCATGGAGATTTTCTACACTACACAGCAGATTTTGCCTGCATGTGTGAAGCTACATTCCTGGACAAAATTGTTGGGACACTTGGCGATGTACATGTAGCCATACGCTCTCAAGCAACCTCCCCCCACTCTCCCTGTCAATGTTGTCATGTCCAGCCGGAGTGCTGACTGCGCCCATAGACCCAACATTGAAAGGGGGATCTGGGGGTTGGATGCCCAACGAAATTCGTCCAGGATTGTCTGAATTGGTTCATAGTTGTGAATGTGCATACCATGCCATTCAGGACATGTGTAGTGTAGCTTCGTTTTGAGAAAACACAGGTTGAAAATAGGGAGATATATATCGGCCACATCGTACAATTAAAGAAGGAATCACCAATGTCTATTTTTGTATTGTGCAACCACTGCAAAGTGTGATATTGGGTAGACAAGTCTTATGGGGAAAAGAATCTAACATCATTTTTAGGAGTGCAATTTCAAGGTACAATGTGTTCTTTTGCAGAGTATGTTTGCAAGAGTGCACTATATAATGCACCATAGCATTTCGCATGTTTTCTGTACGAAATAGATTTCTTTTTAAACATAAAGTGTCCATTTGGGTCTGGACACACCATAAAATCATGTGGGATTTCTGTTTTGAAGTTATTCCATTATTTTGTCGAGAAAAGCAACAATGATCCCTGAACACCGTAACAAAAAAAGGAGGAGAGAGACTCAAGTTCTTTAATGATGTGTCGTGGCTCACAATTGGCAGTGTGCCTTGTATGCATCGCGAGGAAACGCCCCCTATTACTTTAACACGTGCTACTTGCTCTATTGGGTGAGAGTGGAGAAATGCAATCATGACAATGCTTGTGATGTTTGAGGGTGAATTCAGTGCATTTGATGTTATTTCAAGTTTATAGTGTTAAATTGAATCTGCCAATGTTGGAAATGATTCGCACATCTAAGTTACCAGAACCTCCCCACACACCAACAGGCTACAGGCAAGCGCGTAAACTCGGAAAATTCTGGACAAAATTATTGGGACACTTGGCAATATAGCCATACGCCCTCCAGTGACCTCCCCAACTCTCCCAGTCAATGTTGACATGTCCAGCCTGAGAGCAGACCATGCGCATAGACCCAACATTGAAAGGGGGTCTGGAGGTTGGAGGCCCAACGAGATTTGTCCAGGATTGTAGAATTTGCTCTATCTAAAAGCACCTCACCTGCAACAAAGAGGCAGACTGGTGAGAAAATTTCCCACCGAGAGCACAGTGCAGATCATACACTGCAACAGAAACTGGTCCCACGTACTCGGAATGACCCATGTCAAACATGCACAAACCTATGTACACATGCATATATTTTCCCACTAAGGGGATGCTTTTATTATGTTAGAACATGCTAACTCTTGTTTCTGCATGGATCGGATACCTTTTGTCATACTACAAACAACCTTTGTTATATACGTGGCCAATTACAGGAAATTATATGAACCAAAAAAGCCTTAAAATCATTCCAAGTCTGTGGTCATGATTTCAATTTGTGTGAAGTTCTTCATGTTCCTACTTAGTCCTTAAAAGCCATTTCCTGATCATGTCTCCTCATCTCAGTATTATTAAAATGTGCACCAAGGTCAAGCTGCATGGAAAACGTGTGAAATACTGACCAAAATTTTAACAAAAGGGTTCACTCAGTGAGAGAAGTATGGAACTGCACTTTGATAATTATTTGTACTGAATCCTACTGACCCACTGTGGCCTCCTTAGACAGTAGTCGGTGTTTATCTGAGCAGGCCTTTACCAGAGCTCTCTGCTCCGCTAAGCTGACTCCAGAGTTCTTGTAGAAAGCGTCAGTGCATCTTTTAGTCTCAGCTGTGGCTGATCGGATCGTCTCTGTGCGGCCTTGCTTGAACATGGCTGTGCTGCAGGACTCGTATGTTGCTGCAACCTGGCCAGTAACTCGATGGTATGCCATCTGTTAAGCAAAACAATTCAGCGCTGTAATTAATACCTGGCATGTCACAAAATACTGGCAAAAGAACTTCACATATCCAACAGAAACAATCCATGTAAGGAACTTTTTCAAAAGCATTTTGGGTGAGCACAAGATCGGGCCTACTTAGTCAAAAGCTACAACTGACCAACATGCATTGTAAGGGCACTTCAGCAAAATACCTTTTGCTTGCATTGTCTACAGATGGACTAACTGCATCTTTCTCATTGTTGACTCAACCTTAAGTAAAAATTAAGGTGCACAAAACAATTTTCAAAAATAAAATTACTTGCAACGCCAGCTGCGCCACAGCATCAGGGCTCACTCCAAACTTCTTGATGAAGGAGCTGCCATATTTTGTGTACTGAATGCACTGTAGATTTAGCTGGCTGGTAGCAAGCGTGTGGTTAGCTTTGGCCACCTCAATGCCTCGGGAGATCACAGAGTCAAGTTTGAACTCTAGCTACATAAAGAAATTCAGAAACAAAAATGATAATTTGGCACCGCACTTTATGGAAGGCCAACTCATCTCCATTCACAGCATTTTGGGGGAAATGGGCCTAAAAAAGTGGAGTGCCGTGGCCTTGTGGTAAGGAGTATCGGATTCGCAGTCGGTGGGTAAAGCCACAGGTTGCAGGTTTGAATCTAGCCCGGGGTCATGGTGTGTGTGCCCTTGGACAAGGCACTATGTCACTTGCCTCTCTCCACCCAGGAGTAATTGGGTACCTGTGGGGGCAGAGATGGTTATTGTGGTTGATTTAGCTGAACAGTGGCTGCCTTGAGCTGTATACTCCCCAAGGAGCTGAGATGGTATTTGAATATCATGGGCCCAGTGAATCAGGATAATAATGGTGTACAGCATTTTAATCTATGTTAAAGGTGCTTTATTACTACTGCAGCGTAGACCCGGGTGCTATTGTCCCTCAAAACCCGGTAAAGCAAAGAGAGGGGGACAGATACAGGACTTCCAAAAAGAATTTAGTTGTTTTATTCACCAAACTCGGTGCATGACCTTCCACACAGCCGTCAGAACAACAACTACTGCCTACGTGACACTCGAGCTCTACAAAACACAGCATGTATCACAATGTATAACATTGCATAACAATTGTATAACAATTTCTAAGGCTGCCCGGGCACTTTTCCAATTTCCCTCCCACGCCCGCCAAACCACAACGCCCCAAAATAGAAACCAATTTCCGGTGCGCACCCAGCACAAGAGAAACAGGTCAGGGCACTTGGCGTACGAAAGATTAACATGACAATAAAACATGCAAAAGGCTATACAAATGTCCGTTACACTACCCCCTCCTACGAAAAAGCCTATTCTCCAGAATAGGGCACATTTCTAAGATTTCACTCAATTTAGAAAAACGACTGTCTTGGTTAAAAGGAGAATTATGTACACAATTAGAAGAAACACAGAAATTGAGTCAAACAATCATCACAAAAACAACAACATTAATGTTCACTCATTTTCAAAAGGCTTAGGCCTATCTGGGTGTCCACGAGAATGCTGGTTAGCATTGATTTAGGCCCCAAGTTGGTTCCCACATCAAACAAGAACACAACAGTCAGCGAGGTCTACCCACTGCAAAGCCACATGTCTTTCATGACTTTTATGGCAATATCACATCTTCGTCAATCCCACTCAAGAACTTTGTTCCAAAACTGCGCTGCTACAATCGCTGTGTGATGACTCTCCAGCAAGTATAGCAGAAATGTCAATATACCTACCCTGGTCACTCTTTCTGAGCTGTCTACCCTACCGGTAGCATCCCCCGGTGAGATGACGGGTCGGTCCAGGGAGTCTTGGAACACCTCCGAGAACATCCTCCTCAGGGTTACACCATCCCCCCAAGAGTGTTCCATGTTGACCAGCAACTGCCCACTTGAAGTTACAATTAGCTGGAAAGGTTTGTCAAACCACCTGTAACAGAGAACACATACATTCTAATTGTGCATCTTTCATAAACCCTTGAAAGTCCAAGGTCAAAATTACATTTCTTCTTCATAATTTATTGGAAGAAATAGAATACATTAAATGGAGGTTTTGATAAGGAGGGAAAGGATTACATCTTGGATGTGTTAAAATGAGAAGCATTTCAATATCAAACACAGCTGCACGCACAGTGCAGTGTGGCGTCTCTGTCTTTCTTTTACAACCAAATACCGGTACTGTCCGTTTTAAACATGAAATGATAATTGGCAATATATTTGTAACATGAAGGGTTTGAAAGAGGACACTCTTGGTTGACGATGCTCTTTGTCTCATCTGATTTAATTCTCCTGATCCAGAGATATGCCCCAGTATTAAACACAATCAATCAATATCAGACCTAACCAAAATAACATACTGCTTACGTGTATATCACCACAATTTCATTTCTGACAATGCTGACAATGCTACACATTGAAACATGCCGAGGAGTAACCACTTTTGGCTTCAACAGAGGCACAAACTCAAGTTTGAGTGCTGCTGTTGACTGGGGTTTATCCCTGGATTGCCAAAAGCAAACCAGATGAAACAAAATAGTATCATCAAACTGAGGGTGTCTAATTGTTTAAACCAGTTGACATTTGTTTAACATCTGCTTGTACCATTTTTTTTTGGTGGGGTGCACACTGTGCAGTAATCTAACTTATGCTATTGAAGACAACTTTGGGAATGCTGTGTGGCATCTAGTCTCAGTAAGTGCTGATGAATCACCCTGGGTTTGACCTGAATGTGCAAATTTCAGCTCTGATGGGTCTCCTATAATGGCTGGAGTACACACAGTGTACCTGTTTGCAGCATTTCCATGCAATCCTCTCCGGACTAGCTGCTCCTTATCATCATCCGTGTCATCATCAAGACACAGGCAGAACAAGGCAGAGTCAATGAGTCTCAGACTCTCCTTATTTCCTGCATTATTCAATCAAAAGGCATCAAAAACAGATTTACACTGGTTTACAACACAAAACCTCCAGAGTGTCACATGTGCTGAAACATCTGCTCCTCGGTATGCCGGTAATCTCATGAAATTAAAGTTTCATTAAATTTAAGAGAAAAGCCTGTTGTGGCATAAAAGGAACAAACATTTTCACACGTGCAGAAGTGAATCAAACACTGTGGCATCTCTTTCATTTAATGCAGGCCACTTGCAGAGTTTTATAATTGGTTCGGTATTTAGCACTGTGAGCTTGGAGAATTCTACGCTGTAGCACTTATTATAAGATCCAGATTGTGGCATTTTCTTCAGCGTAACAGACCTGGACACACTGCCAGCAGCTTTTCACGGAGCTGTGTCCAGGTATCACGGTGTTCTGTGGTTAGGTAGCCGATGGGGTACTTTGGTGGTGGTAAGGAGGTGGAATGGCTGACAATGTACTGAAGATTGGCTCTGATATCCTGTGCTGAAACCAGACTCCCTAAAAGGATAGTAAGATTAAGGAATGATTTGAGTAAGAGAAAAAGCAACCTTGATTCTGGCAATGAGCTCACAGTGTACTTATAATACCAAAGTGAGGGTAGTTCCCTGAATCTAACAGCAATCTAGCTTGTAGCTTCTTCATATCCAGTAAGAAATATGAACAGCAGGCAGTGTAGAAAATCCTCCACGCAGGAACAAAGAGGGCGTGTTTTGAAATGAAATGGACAGTCCTTTGGTAAGCATTCACCACATAGGTGCGCAAACTTGTGTGCGTTTGACACGGAGCATGCTGAGTACGTGTAATGAATTTAGTCTGGAATGTATGGTCTTCATGTGTACGCTGAGCACGCGCAAAAACCTGGTTAGAAAACTTAGTACCATCTGTTTTTCTTTCGCCAGTGAGGGTGCACTTCGGCTCAGGGTGGATAGTCTCCTCCACTTCCAGAGGGCGTAAGTGTAAACCCCCAACAATTTTTCTGACAGATGACCACGATGTGTAAATGTGATCTGTTTGCTGATGCTGGTGATGATGCGTCCACACACCCTTATGCTTTGATGATTACCACTGGTTTTGTATTCGCAATTTTTCTGGCAGGACTTGATCTCTGAAGCATGTATTTGAGGCATTTGACTTCATTGAAAAATTTGGCTGGCATATTTTGTCCTTGGCCAAAAAATCCCATGCCTGGGGCCAAATCGATTTGAAATAACCTCAGCATAGTCAAATCAGCAAAATCTTAGCACAGCATGAAAACTATGGTCTAGCATCAGCCAATTTTCCAATCACTTTGGGCATTTTTGCATGACCAAATTAAAGCAAGATGCGAGTGGACAAATACTCGTTTTTTCTGCTTATGACATTTAAAGTGTGACAGTGTGTTATCATGTGTACATGTCCAATCAAAAGATGATAATGGCAGAACAACACAGACTGTGCTTATATATTTTGTCTGATCACTTGTTTGGCCTAATTCCATGCACAGCATGGCGTAGAGTGAGCTTCTCCAAGATTGGACTGAGCGGAAACACTAGTGTATAGTCATAGACACGAGACAGGACATAATGGTCAGGCTTCCTCCCTTCTCTTACTGAAGTTCCCCCATCTCCTTTTTGTGAAAGTTGATGAAAATGTACATGTATACTTGTCAAAAGAGCAAGCCCGGGAAAGTAGACTGTACTGCATGTGTTATTTTGAGCCATCACCACAAAACATCTAGTGAGTGTGCACAACACATATCCCTGAAAGTGCAACTCACCGCTGATATCCAAGACATCAAACACGTACATGTGGCCATTGGATATCACCAGCACATGCTGCTGAGATTCATCTCTGAACAACTCATCCCTGTGGGGCCGAGGTATCCGAGATGCATTGAAGATTCTAGAAAACTGGCTCATGTCCAGGGGCTGCACGTTGTTATCTAGAGCATGTCGGTAGGCCTCCTTGGATGAGAGAGTCCTTTGGTGCAAAGATTAACAACAGTCTTGACTTTGATGAAAAGAAGATGCAACAAGTGTCTGGAGATAAGTTGAAGGCACAGAAATTCTCCTGACCTGAATGAACTCCAGAAGTCTTGCGTGTCAGTGATGGCAGGGTTCCTATGAACAGCATCTGGGAGAAGCTTGTCATCCCTCAGTGTCTTCAAGAATCTCAGTATGGAGACGGTCACATTGGTTGATCGAGTTGTCTACACAGGTAGAAAAATAATGGTATGTACAGACAGGATTTGTGCTGCAACAAGATTGTGCTGCGTGTACACATGTACATGTTGTGCATGAACAAATGCAGCTATCTAGGGTTGAGCGTTTGAACTCTGCTAGGCAGTGCAAGTGACACATTTTTACTCTTGAATGGTCAATTTGAATTGAAAGCAATGTGATTCCTATTAAATTTTTCTAAAAACTTAATGTGTTGGAATGAAGATGATGAATTTTTTTTCATTGATCTTTAAAGGGTAATTACAAATTATGGATAAAAGTCATGTCACTGTTTTTGCCAAACTTACAAATGACATTTCAAAGTGACTGCCAGCAATCCTGGAAAAATAGTCCAGTCCCTTCCTGCTTCAGAACAGTCAATAAATAAGGAGATTTTGGGATCGTGATCCAAAATAGGGCTATCTATGAAAAAAGCCCATAGTTCTCAGCCATGACACCACGACTGGGTAATGTTGCATGTTAAATCCAGAAGCAAGCAAGTACCTTGCCCAGTATGCATACATACGTGCATGAACATGTTATGTCCTAATGTACATGCACAAAACTCTAAGTAGTCAGCATGTACGTCTTCCTGGTGAAAAGGGCTAAAATAATTGCTACATGTAGTGTCCCCCGTCATACACTCTAATCCCCTCAACCTGGATGTACATGTACGCATACCCACCCATAAACAGAGCCTTGAACTATTATTCATTAATACATAAGACAGTTTAGCCATTCCGATTGGTCAAGAGCCCATCACGTGGCCAGTCTTAAACAGTTAATAAAGTACCAGCTGGCTGAGTGCCACGTCACACAAAATGCACCACATCAGGGGCACCCATCTCCACACAAGGAGATAGCCCTGTTTGCACTGGACTTTTTTGGTCAAACTATGGCTGAGTCAAAATCAAATAATTCACAACATGAATATTTGAACTTCAATTGGGTCGAATATCCGAATATTCGATCTTACCAACAGGCAGATTAACGATGAATAAACTATATGTACATATACAAACTATAGTGTACATTGTAATCACTATAATAGCTTCTCACTTCTAGGAGTATCTCCAGCCATAATTCAGCAAGATTTAAGAGACGAACAATACGTCTTACCCTGTTGAAAATTTCTTTTGCTTTTAAATGTTTTAATGAATAATTTACTTTTTGAGTCCTTGTAAAATTTCTGTCGTTTTTCATTTAAATCTGCTTCAAACAAGCCTCCATAGTGCAATTGTTCTCATTTAAAACAAAAGAAAGTTTTCACTTTGTTTTCATGAATTTTGCATTCGTCTATTATTTTCGTTCCTATCAACTGTAACACCCTACCATAAATAAGAAATCTAGATGAATGGCAGACAGTTTCTGCTAATAGGTGGGTGCAAGTTTTGCCTCCTGTTCCATGTGCCTGGGTTTCTTCCAAGTCATGGTCAGAAACCCTATCTTCCAAATGGTCTTTTACCTGGTCCATATACTCTGGTCTGGGGTCATTGGTGATGAAGGATGCCGGGCTTGAGTTAAGAACAACCGAGTCTCTATACCTGAGGTACACATCCATCCAGAAATCTATGTCCAACAAATATAAGATATTTTCTTGCAAGCAAGCTGTGATGAGCGGAGATAGTGGGTATATTTAATCTATTACCTGTACTTACAACGTATCAAGTATGCAAGCACAAACATTATGTAACCGTTGCTGCATCTGTAATACACATGGCTGTTATTTTACTATGGTGATGAAACTTGTGGGAAGAAAGGGTGATCCTCATCAAAACCTTCAGCTATCATTCAGATCTCAGAAACTGAGATGTACATGTGTATCTTTCTGTTCTCATTCCACAAGGTCATCAGCATCTTGCTAAACCCTTCGTGCCTAAACAGGTGGAAATGTTGAGAAACAGAAGACAAACCAAAACTGGAGACGAAAAACTTGAAGCAAGGAATCCGTTGAAGTCCTGTTCCATAGCTACATACATGTACATGTACACGCGAGACAAGGTGCACTCTGTACATGTAACACCTACCTGCAATGTAGCTTGTATGGGTGTTTGTCTTGTTCAGTTCAACCAATTCATTGTTGAGGTCTGGAAATGAACGCAAAAAAAACCCCAGTTTTCCTGTCTTCAAACAAAATGATTTCAAATGGCAGAATGAAAGCATTGTGTTTTGACATCCTTGCTGCATGAGATACTAAATATGTCCCGCTCAAGTTTACATCCGTACGTATTGCCAGCGATCAGGTGGCTCCATTACAGTTGCTCATTTCTTCAAGTTCACTGAAATCATGGACTCACCAACACCTGCCCCCTTCTGGAATTCTCCCACTAGGGACTGTGTCTCGGCATATTCTTTTGGACTGAGAAACACATGCTGAGTAGCAAGGTAACGCTGGCAGGTGTCTCGCACAGAGGGTATGGGCAGCTGAGGGATAGCCGGTTGGAAGAGCATTGTGGGGACAGGACTCAGCGTCTGAAGATAGTCTGCTGATGAAGCAACAGATCTAGAACTGTCGGAAGAATGTGTAGAACATACGCAGTAGTGAGGCGATTGAGGCACAGTGCATGGATAAATTTGTAGGAAAACTTGTACAAGGAACTGTGCGTGTTTAAGAGATATCAAGATCTCACAAGCATGTCCAAATGACCTCTTACCGTACACACTTCAGGTAGGGCATGCGCTGTTTGAATACCTGAGTTTATAAAGAACTGAAAAGTTTTTGCTCTTATTTTATATTTTTGACAGGCATGCGTCATAACACACATATGGATTGACATAATTTGGTCACTAGTGCACATTTAATATCTCACTAATGAATGTGAGTGATCAGAAAAGGGACAATATATCCCTCCAATTAAACTACTCACAGCCCCCAAGGGCTCTAGTGGTATCACTGTCAGTCCATACATTACCATGAGAACCATCTTGTCCCCAGTGCTTTTGGTGGTTTCTAAGAGAAACAAAATAACAAAAGTAGAAAACCATTCAATAATGCTATATTCATTTTCCAAAGAATCAGTTTGCCATGGTACAATTTTCATAAAGTCTCAATGTAAGCCATTAATACACGATTCAAAAATGGTCTTTTTGCAACAAAAAGTCTTGTGCCACACAGAAATAATTATGAAAAATAAGAAAAAGCACGAAGCCTGCACTAGACCTACAGACATAACAGACTTGAAGTAAGCTGTCAATACAAGCCAAATGACATTTGCAAGTAATGGCAAACTTTGGCCATTCACTTTGCACAAAAATTGACTGTGTTGTACAGGTATCCCATTAAATGATTACTTCAGCTAAAGGCAAAATTCCATACTGGCAGTTTAGTTCGCCTACTGGTTGATATGCAAATAAAAATAAAATACTAGGTAATTTTCAACAGAATGCGCACAAGCCAAGAGCACCCTAACACATAGTCCCAGGCCACCATAAAGTGTTGGGCAATACTGAGTGACATTTTCAAAGTAGAGGGCTAAATATCAAATTCACAAACAATGCGGCCTCAGTCATAAATGAGAGGAGTTTGTTTAAGTGTACTGTACTTTTTTGTGGACTTGTGGAAAGGGTTGCAATGAAAATCATCCGCGCAATGCTGAACAAAACAGAATTTATCTGCACCACGGAACTGCATATTTGAATACCAGCACTGCACACGTACACTTACGAAGTGGCAAGGAACTAGCACTGTCACGGCAACACGTTGATTGCCCAATCCAATCTTCAGCAAGTTGCCCAATCTTCTGCCAACATTCCGGTGACACTGGGTTAAGTAGCTGGCCATCTTTTTCAATTCCTAAAGAAAAACATTACCAGCTTGCTGATAAGTTTTGAAGCCCATCTGGTCCCTTTCTGAGGTAGTGTGTATTGGCACTGTAGCCTGATTGCGTGAACTTGCAAAATATGTACATGTATTCACAGGGGCAGGCCTTCACCACATTTAGAGGACAATTCTTTTAAGCAAATTAAGACCAAGCTGTGGGGACATGTCTTTGTCCCAATAACATTTTCCGGTCTCCACAAAATCAGTGTAATGCAACTGTTTGTCCCCTCAACTACAGTGTATATGTACACTGTCTTAAAGGGTAACAGAAATTGAAAACATGGAGTATTTCGAAATAACAGCAAATACGTAACCATTTCAAAATATCACCAATTTAATGTGTACCCCGTTAATTGTAACCCCAAAATGAATAAAAAGATCCTGCGTTCAACCCCCTTGGCAGAAAATCCCCTTTCGGCCATTCAAGCTCACAGGCTGATTGGATGATCTCATTGCCAGAACACTGACATTTACAGTGTACACGTACATAGCGTAAAATACATGGACTATCGCATGCTCGCAATGTACCACATTGTGTTTGATGTAGCTTGGTCCACAGCGGGCAAACTATTAGTCAGTTCAAGGTAGAAATTAAAAGACACATAGTATTTCTTGCACTGAGACAGTGTTTGCCTGTGGGCCAAGCTACATCAAACACAACCAGATCTATTACGAATAAATACTAAAAGAAAATAATAAAAGTGTAAACACTAATGAATATAGTATATATATATTATAATTATATTATATTATAAATATATATATATATATATTATAAATATAATTAGTAAAATTTAGCAGGAAGAAGAAGAGCTCCATATGCGGAAGCCGCACCGCTTGACACTCTGTACCCTCAGTTTGAAGCTGGTCTGAAAAATTCTGTTTTGTTAAGTAGGCCCCTAATGTTAAACGACCTCCTATTTGGCCTAGTACTAAATTGAACTTTTCTGGAAGATCAAAACATGCACATGATGCGCTCTAGTGTTAGGGAATAA